CCTGTACACTTCACAATTATGAGGTGCTTTTAGGGAGTTTTTTCTCTATAAATTGAGAAAATTAAACACTGTGCATTGAATATGTATCGTGAAAATATTCATTCCAACATTTTCTAATGTTATACTTAAAAGCTGCTGAATTTGTGTAATATAGAACTTTGAAAGTATTTGGTTAAGTAGTATCTTCAAAACCCCGTCTTTTTTGTTTATATTACATTAGGCAAAATAGAGAAAATAAGAATCAGTAAAGAAAGCCCAACACGGCACCATTGAAAATGTGGCAGGCTCGGTTTAATTGAGCCTGCTCATGGACGGTACTGTCAAATGCAAACTACCGTCCACAAGCAGAATTCAACATTTAACATGAACTGGTACAACTTTGAATTATGAAACATCCGCAGATGTGTTCATATGGCGGCTATCATGGAACCTTCAATGTGACATGAAAAGCGGCACATGGTCCTCAAGTAACAAAATGTGTGTGCCCTAAAAGAGAAAACAATGGGCGGAACTAAATAAAATGGAATTTTGAAAGAGGATCAGAGGCTATGAAGCTTGTTTCTCACAGATAAGACGTCAAAATACCAATTTAAAAAGCAGGTCACATATCCTAAGGGTGATTCAACAGTATTCAAATGAGGAATACTGGAACCACCCAGCAAGAAAATAGCCGAATAGAAAGAACTAAATTACAAAAAGCTCAACAATAATTCACAACATGAACTATCACCAACCTACTGAATTTCTTTCTATTTTTGAAAATGGCAAATATCAATTTTTGGGGATTAAAAGACTAATCAAGAGGACATTGATTTTTCCTTACATCGCTCACCTTATATAAAAGCTCTCTTGATAACAATTACTATTGTTAACTCTGAATGAAAACCAGATAATTTATAAGGTCTAAATTATTTAAAATTCAAAACTGGTATCACAAAATTTATATTTGCATCACAAAATGTTTACATCTTCAAAAGTGACTGGTTGATATGGAAAAGCAATTTTTGGGACTGGTTGTTGTCGAAAGTCAATGGATTTTGTGATATCACTGGTGGCTAAGGAAAGTCAATGGTTGCTATGAAGTCAAAGTTGCTACGGAAAACAATAGTTCGCAAGCAAAATCAAAAGTTGCTATAAAGTCAATTGTTACTATGGAAAGACAGTGCTTAATATGGATGTCAAAGGTTGTAACAAAATAAAATGGTTGTTAAAGAAATTACGTCTTGCTATGGAAGGTACTTCATCAGAAAAAAAAGTTAGAATAAGGAGTTCGCTGGATGCTTAAGAGAGGCAATGTTTGCTATTGAAGTCAATGTCTGCAAAGGAATGTCAATGGTTGCTATGGTAATAATTAATTGTTATAGAAAGTCAATAGCTGCTCTGGAAATCACTGGTTGCTATGAAAGTTACCGGTTGCTTTCGAAAATCAATGGCTGTTGTTAAAGTCATTGGTTGTTATTGAAAGTCAGTTGTTGCTATTGAAGTTTGTTGTTGCTATGGAAAGTCAATGGTTGCTATGAAAGGTTGCTGTGGAGGTGACTGGTTACTGTGGAAAACCTATGGTTGCTATATATTTTTTAAATTTCGGTACAATTATTATAATAGTCAACAAAAAAGATATCAAATTCACCATTTGCTAAAGATTCACTGGCGGCTGAGACTGGACAACATACGCCCGATAGCATATTTACAAGAATGTATCAGAGACAAAATGTTTCTAAAAGCGAAATTGTAAATGGCACCGATTTATACATTTCGTCCTAATGTAAAAAAAACTATACAGTCTATTTTTGAGGTTACAAAATAACAGGTTAGAAATAGAAGATAATGTAAATTCAAATTTGTAATAAGTTGTTTGCAGAGAAAATCAACGTGATATAATATGCATATCGAATACAATTATAATTAATAACTCAATAAAAAGTTCATAGCAGTGAAAAAGAAATTCGAAATCAAGTTTTATTTTCACGGGGAGGAATCACGTGACTTTGTATAGTAATACCCACGAGAAAATGGCTACTGCTGAGCCCCGGTAAGTACCTTAATATGTTAAATTAAGGTGACAAACGTTTCTTGAATTAAAACAAAACCTAGCGTATCATATGCGCGGTAACTTTCTTCAAATGACAATACAAAGTGCATTATCCTACGTTTTGTGGTTTTTGAGAACATTGAATTGTGTGAAAATTGCACATTTAGCGATAGTAATTCGCACGAAGCGATATAACTTGGTACCAAAATCAATGAAAATAAGCCTTCTTTTTGCAATCATTTTATTGACATCTGTTCTTGTAGAATTCCATATAAAATTTTGTTCGAAGGTCTGTAGCCTACAAATGTTCTTTGCAAGTGAATAGTAAGTAAAACGAACAATTTCTAGATAGTAAGTTGCACGAAAACAAAATAGTAAGTTTCACGCACAGTTTCCCTTAGCATACATATACATCAAAAGAAAGTTAAAGTTCATATGTAAAGAGATAGAAAATGCTTATTTTAATTATTCAAGATCAAATATTTCACTTTTTGTCTATAGGACGAATGCTTAATTGGTTGTTTTTATAATATATGTAATGAACTTTTGACGGGATTTAATATTACACGGCTCAGTGTTATTTTTCTGTTGCGATAGTAGTTCTTTGACCTCTGCAGTGTCAGGTGTGTCTTGGCCCTAATTCTACTTTAATTATAAAAAAGATGAAAATATAATTGCTTGTTATTTGGTATGGTGATTTTTATTAACTGAACGCTTATGTTTTATATGGCGGTATTTGTTACATTTAGTCACTATGTTACTTAATTTATGAAAATATATTTAAGAATTCGCAAGAACAAAATAACTTCTTACAAAAAAAGCAACAGCAAGAAAAAAAACAATGATACAGTGATTCAAGTAATGATTAAAGTCACATTGTCCCTCAGAAATCCATATTGTTTTAATTCTTAAGAAATGCCAAACATGTGTTTGATAATGTTCAAATAATGGATGAAACGCATGATAGTATTTTATTACAACTGAAAAAGGTAGCGCCGAGCATTAAGTGATGTGTCGTAAAGGTAGCAAAATGTAAACAAAGTAGTATTTTGACATCAATACAAAATGCTTATTCACTAAAGGTATACCAATTGCCAACATGCAAAAGATAGTTTGAGTATCTAGCAAATGAGTATGTTTTCGGAAACTGTAACAAGATACCAAAAATAAACAGTTTTTTTTAGATAAAAATGATAGCATTTCAGAGGCATAATGGACCTTTAAAGAAAAACGAATATTGAAATCAAACGGTCAAAGATATTCATACTTTTTAAAGTGGAGTAAACATCTGAGTTAAAGCACTGACGTTTCGTGAAAGAATTCAAGGACTCTGGTGGGACTAGAATCCATAGCAGTGAGAAGCATGTGTATAAAAATTAGGGACTTTAACCACTCGTTGACGGACACCCTGAATATCTTATTTACTTACTCTATCACAAACAAAAAGTAAGAGTTTACGAGGTAACACATTTGCAGATGGTAAGAAAATAAGCAAATAGTAATACATTACGTTTTAACAAAACTTCTTGTGTTTATTTATAAAATCTGCCAGTGTATAAAGGAATGAATTTAATAAAAAAAACTTTGTATACCAGTTCTATGATGGCATTAAATATCAATGTGATATGGCGAATGCCTTCTCCTTTGCGTCTTTGGTCCAAATTGCAGATACTGAAAAGTAAATGATGGTGTTGTAATAGTTCCTTCTGAACATTTATTTCTTTATATATCTTGTTCTACAGATAACGGGTGTGGGTCCAGTCTAAAGTGAAAAAGGGCCAAGTGTTACGTACATTGTTGAGTATCAATGTCAATGTCTCATTTATCTTTTTAAATTAAGTAATCTTTTATGGAATTATATAAATACATGTATTATGAAATAATATGAATTATAATCAAAATACTTTCTCGATATTTGTTTCTCTGTCACCGTAGACGGAATATACTTGCAAATTTGTAACCAAAAGAATTATAAGATAGTTTCGTCACATTTTAGTAAGCTTTTGGAAACTGTGCGTGAAACTTACTATTTTGTTTTCGTGCAACTTACTATCTAGAAATTGTTCGTTTTACTTACTAAACACTTGCAAAGAACATTTGTAGGCTACAGACCTTTGAATAAAATTGTATATGGAATTCTACAAGAAAATATGTCAATAAAATGATTGATTTGGTGTCTTAAATGCAAAAAGAAGGCTTATTTTCATTGATTTTGGTACCAAGTTATATCGCTTCGTGCGAATTACTATCGCTGAATGTGCAATTTTCACACAATTCAAACAATGTTCTCAAAAACCACAGAACGTAGGATAATGCACTTTGTATTAACATTTGAAGAAAATTACCGCGCATATGATACGCTAGGTTTTGTTTTGATTTAAGAAACGTTTGTCACCTTAATTTAACATAATAAGGTACTTACCGGGGCTCAGCAGTAGCCATTTTCTCGTGGGTATTACTATACAAAGTCACGTGATTCCCCCCCGTGATTTTGATATAACATACTTGCATACTAAATGTAAACACAATTATTGAAATCTTGCAATCTTCAGAAAACGGTAATTTCATGGAAATTTTGCCAAAATACATTTCTCTACTAATTATACATGTACTAGGAATTTGATTGCAGTAAGATCAAATGTCACATTTGTACTTATATACGAAATATAAAGATGAAAATTGAAATCCTTAAAAGTTATCCTATGATAATCAATAATTTCCCCAAATATTGCATAACTACCGGTTTATCAATTATGCCTTGATTACAGCGAACATCAACCTTAATTTGTGCTTTGATATAACATACGTACATGCCAACGATAAACAAAATCATTGGTTTCCTGAAAACGTTATCATGCGGTAACCATGATGACAGACGGACGGACATTAGCATACCAACCCGAAAGTACGTACCAAAGTTCTTCGGGCGTATAAAAAGTATGTGATAAAGTAATAAAAATATACTTACAGTGTTGTCATTAATGTTTCTTCGCTCTTTCATAAAAGCAACAATTCTGCCTCTGAATAAATATCCAGAGCACATTTTAAACATTTACATCCAGAGAGCTCTGTCTCACATCTTCCTCTTATATGTGATAATAGCTTACTGAGAAAAAAGTAGAAACTTAGCTCAGTGAAATTGTTGTTGACATTAATGTTCCTGGTGTTCTTATGTTCAAGTGAGGAAGTTGTGAGTTGTAAACGTACATATTGTCAAACTCATAGAAGTCTTTAAAAGATGAGTAAGATAAAAATTATAAAGGTTACAAAAATTTCGCTATTGATTAGTTATCTAATTATTCATGCATACTACGAGGGATGATCTAAAATTAACCGGACCGTGTAAATGATTCTTAACCTGTTAAATGAATTTACATAACAATACACGGAAAATAAATCGGAATCTATCCCCTAAATGATACAAAAAATACCAACAAGAAATATTAACAAAGAAAAAAGTTATGCTGTTATTGGCATGCACATGTAAAGCCATGCGGCGCACGGTATAACTTTAAAATTGACGTTAACGACGTCGCAAGCGTATTGTCCTTAACGGAGCAGATTTTTACTCATTCACGGAGTAGGCCATATATGGTACAGTCATGTTATTGATGCGGCGGATCCACTGCCTATATATTTTTCTGTACAAGTGGGTATCATATTGTATTGTAATAGAATGAATGGTGATAAAGAGCTCCTGAAATGACGCAAACTTTCGTTATGTCCTTCTGTAACTTCAAAAATCGCCCATGAAATTAACTATATTATGTATTACAAATAATGTAAAATAATGAGCTGAATGATAATGTATCATTCATACGAAAAAATAATAGAATAATACAACTATGATCAAAATTGTCATTATTTTAAAATAAATAAAACGCATAGCCAATTTGAACAGTGGCTGTTAAATTGTTGACACAATTTCTCCATAAGACTACTGCGCCAAATAAGAAAATAATTGATACAATTGTAAACTAAGAAAACAAAACATGTAATTAATGCATTAACTTTTATCATTTTTAGATCCTCAGAGTTGACTGCACCGTCCCGTAGTTACTGTCGAACATCGTTGACAATGTCCGCAGTCAATCGACTGTCATTTTTCAACGTCTTGGCGATTGACGTCACCAACGTCCTTGAAAATGTCTTTTTTCTGTCTCTCCCTTTCTTGTTTCTATTTCTCTATTATCCTTTCTTAATCTTTTAAGCTAATCAAAAAATATGTTGTGGCTTTCTGGAACTTTTCCCTTGATAGCCATAATCTTTTTCTACGTTTTAAACAGTTTCTCGTCTTACATTTGACAAATTTTTCCTATGATCGATTTTCGAGACATTCCAACGACATAGTTTTAATGCGAGTATTTCATTAACATGTGACGTTTGAATTGTGATTGTAAATATAGATATGGTTTAAATGAAGTCATTTTTACTGACAACGTCAAAGATATGGTACATTACGTTTTGGCGTATTTTGAAATCTAAATGTGCCATATTGTAAAATACACGCAGCATAAAGCGCCTCATGTCAAGGCGAATTTACGCACTGCGCCGGGTGTGCGTTACCATGGTTTTTTAATTCGCTGTTACGGACAAGCTATTTGCGTTATCAGATTAGATATAGGATCAGTTTACAGGTATTGTTTTCCGATTAAGTGGGATATATAACAATAAGTGATAGGATGAAAATTCTTCAATTGCCAGTCACAGTCCGGTTTATTTTTGATCATCCCTCGTATAACATACAGTATTTAACACAGTTGACAGAGATGGAGAAAAAAACACTACAGAAACATTCACTGTGTGGTCCAGACCGGTAGGACATTTACTTTAGGATTGAAAAATGCTGGGTTCAAGCCAGGTATATTACTAATATTCTTTAAAGCTGCGTGCCTCCAGATGCGCCGAAATATTTTAAGAAAATCAAACTTGAGAAAAGTGTGCTAAGATTTGAAGAAAAGTAAAATATTAAAGTAATTATATGCATGTCATGTGCGATTAATGACAGATTTTGCAGTATCTATCACCATATTTCTTCTGATTTGATTGACTAACGCAGTAAGGGCTATTTTGGCACACTATGACCTCTCTTTGGTAATTTAAGTTAGTGTAAGTGCAAATTACTTTCTTTTTTCACTCCACGATATTATATTTTTTAAAAACCTTTTTAAATTTTCATGACCATTAGCATTAACCTGGAAGAAAGCTGTTTTACACAAAAAAACAACAACATAGATTCCCTTCACTCAGGTGAATGGGTACATGGAAGGACAGGGCAGTGTGAGCAGGTAGGTATGTAGGTGAACATTGCGCGTACCTTGTGTATGAAGCATACACTAAAGACTGTAAAGTTGCTTTACGTTGTGACTCACGTAGTTAGTATGCAAGTTTTAATAACAACAGTGTAATGTTGTCATTATTTTTTGTTGTTTTTTATTCTTTTTTTGTTGTTGTTTAGTTCTTTGATTTGCTTTTAATTTCAATTTTTTTGTGATTTTAAATTCAATATTACAAAGATGCATCTTTTTCAGATACCATTTCTATGTTTTGCTCATCAGTATCTGTTATTTCACCCACTTAATTAAGGGCGTCAGTGGCCGATTTCCTATGGTAGTTTACTTCAAACCATTTGCCCTTCACCGCTGTATGTTCTGATCCCAATATAGAGTTTGGATTTTCTATAATGAGAAAGGTGCCATGCTACCTGACGGAATGTCTGTGGTTCTTCTCAGGTACCCGCTCGTGCTTGGTGACGTACCAGAGTCCCAATAAACCTGGGAAGTTGCCACATGATCTCTAAAGTATTGGTGCGACGTAAATCCCGATAATAAATAATAAAAATCGCCGTGTCGGTACCTTTGTTGTCATATGAATGATGATATGTTCATTTGCTTCTCCTAAAGTCATATTGCTTGTCAAAAAAAAACGTACTCCCACCTCTTCAACATATCTGAAACATGATTTACAGTTTTTGATGGTTATCTTAAAGACACCTCAAACGTTACATTTTCGATCCGCCAAGCAAAGACAAGACAAATTGAAGGAAAAAACACGACAGATATAATATAATGTGGCGCGTTTTTCTTGTGGCGGGGCGAAAACAGTCGCACCATCTTCGCTTTTCCTGTTAAACTTCGTATCTGGACATCGAATACAATATTAGTAAGAATACACAGAACGAATACGGTATAGCCTACGCTAAGAAAGTTTATTCCAGTATCCTGATGAAGAACCAGACAGGTTCGAAACCGGTAGATCTTTATCACATTTATCCGGTGTTGACGTGTGGTTTCTTTTCATCCAATATACGGATGAATCCACCTAAACTGATTAAGTAAATTTACAGAATGATATAAATATACACTACATTAGAGCTAATTACATATTATTATGGTTGTAGAAACCGAAAGTACAAAATGGACACCTGTTGAAGTTAATTCGGATTTGGTTATAATTGTACATCGGTTTTTAAATTGATTATGATTGTGAGACATATGTTTAAGAATAATTATACCTATAATACTTTATAATTCTTTGGATGCCACATTCGTTATATATTATACAAAGATAACACCCTATGTTTTACCACGTAAAGTCTCAGATTATTATGAAAAAAGCGTCAAGGTGTTCCGAGCCTGCAACATTTTCAATTTTGCCGTGTTGGGCTTTCTTTAGGGATTCTTATTTTCTCTGCTTTATCGCCACATCAGTGCTGTTTGTGCCGTGTGGAGGCTGTAAAAAGTCGCCCCGTACATTCAATCAGAGATATTATATTTCCGATCCTTAAAGATCGTTCAGCACGACATTACTGGTATGCGTGTGGTTATTTAGTTCTTTCTATTTGGCTATTTTCTTATTGGGCGTTTTCAGTATTCCTCACTGGAGTACTGTTTAAATGTGGCTTGCATTTTAAATTAGTCTTTTGACGTCTTATCTGTGATATGCAAGCTTCATAACCTCTGATCACCTTTCAAAATTCCATTTTATTTAGTTCCGCCCATTGTTTTCTCGTTTAGGGCACACACATTTTGTTACTTGGGGATCATATGCCGCTTTTCATGGAATGGCACTTACGTGTCACATTGAAAGTTCCATGATAACCGCCATATGAACACATCTGCGGATGTTTCAAAATTGTACCAGTTCATGTTAAATGTTGAATTCTACTCAAGCCGGTGCTAGGGGGCGTGGATGGTAGTTTGCACTTGACAGTACCGTCCATGAACAGTCTGTCAATCAAACCAAGCCTGCAACATTTTCAATTTTGCCGTGTTGGGCTTTCTTTATGGATTCTTATTTTCTCTATTTTTTTTACCTCAAAGCCTTTACCTTGACTGGAGATTGGGTGTGGGTTGTCGTCTTATTACTGTGAACTTATGTACCAAGTTATTTTGAAATCCCTTTATGAATGGAAAATTTGAGGACCAACCGCACAACAACATACAATTTTAAGACACAATGTTAAGCTTTGACCTCTAAGTGTGACTTTGACCTTAGAGGCAGATTTTACACATCGCCTTATTATGGTGAACATTTGTGTAAAGTTATTTCAAAATCCCTTGATGGATTGGCACAAAATATACTCGCTATCAGAAAATGTTGACTTTGACCTCCATCATGTGTGAGATTGACATCCATGTTGCGTTTATTGAACGCCGCCTTTCCTTGTTGATCTTGTTTATCATATATTGACCTTGACGGGGGTTGGTTGTTTCGCCTGGTATGTCATTTTATCATGGTAATCATTTGTGCAATGTTATCAAAATCCCTTGATTATGGTTGAATCATGGACTTGATACGAAATGTACACATCATCAGACAATATGTTGACCTTTGATCTCCAAGTTGGGCATTTCCTTGGAGGTAAGTTGTCTGTTGTTTGTTAAGGGACAAATAGACGAGGCCCATTTCTATAAACCCTTTTTTCTTTGAAAAGACGGACAATAAATTAATGAAATGTAAATATATTTGACTGGTTTGAAAAAAGAAAATCAAGAGGAATTATATTTTTGATCTATCATGCAGTAGTATGGGTATAACGGTTACTCTCACAGGGGAGGAACTGTTACACGAGGGATGGAGTTCTTATGATCACAGGAGAGGAACTGTTACACAAGGGATGGAGTTATGATAACTTGTCAGGAGTTCTTGTGATAACTGTCACGGAGTTCGTCGGAAAACTTTTCTATATACTGCAGA